GTGAAGAATATCATGTTTATAAATTATACCGATCTTTCTCTCAATTTAGAAAAGAAATATATTTTTCGCATGTATACTTACTTTTTGCACCTCAGTATATATTCGTTCGCTTAGAATTTACACACGTAAATATATATTTCATCTGGTGTCAAATAGACAAATAAAACAGTTGAAATAAATATAAATGATATTTACTGACCTCTTGATTAGTATTACATGGAGAAACGATGAGAAATTCCATTGCAGCATGGCGTCCCCCACGCAGAACCAATGGGTTATAGTTATTTGGGTTGGGATGACCTCCTTTGGTATGTATATATTTTCCACCAAGGTGTCGAATATGATGATTATGGGTATCGATGAAGAACAAGGCTGCAGCATGACGTTCCTGATGTAGAACGAGGTCAGTTTTATCTCCAGGGTTCAAATGTCCACCTAGTGGTCGGATATATTTTCCACTTACAACGTGTCGGATATAACCATAGCCGTTTTTTGTTTGGTCAAATGCGAAATGCATGCTAGCGTGTATGTCTTGGTGGACAATCATTTTAGTGTCATTACTTGGGTTAAGAGAACCACCCAGTGGATGAATGTATCTTCCACCAGATTTGTGCTTGATGACAAAAATTGCCATGGCCTCTGACAATTTGCTTCCTTGGCTATCTACAGGACAGAGATAAATGATTATTTTTAACTGAGTTTGTTAAGCAATTTTTAAGAAGTGTATAAAAGACAAATGAATAAGAAACAACTATGATATTTTGAATTTGATTTAGAATAACAAACCATGAAAAAGCATATTTCGGCGTTTCCGTCCTTCTGAGACTCGACAGTAACCGTATGGCCTAAGTTGTTGAAACATTGAGGCAATAATATCCATAATGTTCGTAAGCGACCTTTCGTCAGTGATTAATTTAATGGATACTCTGGCAACACAGTACATAAAATGTTGATATTGTTTTAGATACCTACATTAAATGTTCCATGACTATTTTTCTAGTCAATAAGATACTAACCGTTACTGTCGCAATGGTAGAAGGTGTAGATTTCCTCTGCAGATCAGCTGTACCGTCCCAAACAAGCCATTCTTTTATACTATCTCCAGATATCGATTCATTTTAACAGAAAATCCTGCCATTCATTGCATTCCACTCACAATACACATGTTAGCTATATATTTCCTTTAAAGTATAGAACTGAAATGTTTTGTCATCGATTGTATATATTATTCATGAAGTATATAGCATTTTACAGTCAATAACCAGTTTTCAGACGAAATACATTTAGCTTGCACTGAGAAAGAAACCAGATTGGAGGTGACCTTCCAGCAAATAACCATCATTCAGGAACCAAGCAGTTTGGTTTTTTGTTACCTGCGATCCGTCCTCTAAGCTTACACAAGCTTGTAAATTTCTACACGTTTTAGTTCTCATACTAAATTTACAAACCGTATATCAGTGTTTTTCTCCCTCTTGTACTTATAATGATAGATACGAAATATTTCAACGATAAGAAAAAAAAACTTGTCGCAAAAGAAAATCATAGTTTCCAAACACTTTTTAAAAACCCAATGATTTTGTTCATTCGTTTATTCGCAATGTACATAAATCAACCAGATACATATGGAAATTTACTAGTCATTTAGAAACATATTGTTTATTAAATAGTAAATATAATGAATAGATAATATATTAATATTTTGGTATGAATGATATTATATAATATTCTTGGCACTGAAGTCATACTCGTCCATTTTGTTTCTACTATGCCATATTCATCTTTCTTGTGCTGCTATTAATCATTCTCTGTAGCGTTGTAGACAGGTAACTTACTTTTCTGAGTGCTAGAACAAAATCACAATCAAAAACAGTAATAGATACGTAAGTACGTAAAAAATCAGATACACACTATTATCTAACACTTCAAAAAAACAACATAGATAATTGATCTGATATGATACAAAATTAAATGATCGATATATTTTCCTTAAAGATACTAACGTATCTCTACAAAAAAACCAATATGATTGGTTACATCAAATGTATTTGTTTTGAAAGGTAACGGATTTCATCTTAATTGCTCCTAATTGGAAACGTTTATATATATTTTGTGTAAAAGTTTTCTCTCTATTAAGATATTTTATTGACGAATTCATTCTTTATCACCTATTCATACTTTTCAGTGATCGTATGTCCTGCTTTTCAGTTGACATAATTTTGTACTTTATTGAATGTATTTAATTGAAGGTCACATAAATACAACGAGCTATTGACAAATAACTGGAAAGATTATATCAAGGTAAAAAAAAGTAGGGATTGCATGTGCTGCTCGAATAAAAGTAGTTTCAGATATAAATTTCTCAGAGTGACAAAATTGTTCAAGAAATACTGCCAAATGATGAGAGTTATTACGCTATTCATATGTTTATATCGAACAGGTGATGTGCGTTTACAAAAATATAAAAATATTTGTTATCTCGAATAACTTTTAAAGCGTCAAGAAACCCATGCGTTCATTTGTATATCTTTTAGTGTTTTTAATTAAAGAAAACCAGTATTGCATCTATGTTATTTTCAATTAGTCATATTATCAAAAACTTCCCGGATTGAGGAACTTCGCACTTCCCTGTACATTTGGATATAGCCTTACGCAAAATGCTATTTATAAATGTGTATATTCCCTCTCAAATAACCATCATGGAAAAATACAGCCTAGGAATATACGCTTCTATAATTTTTCCGGAGGTAGCTGATACTTAAATGCATTATACAGATCTGCGTGTTTAAAGACACCAGAACATGATAACACACGAAATTGACTTGGTTCTTTTTATAGCTGAATATCGACGGGTTCCCTTGTAAACAAAAAGAGGCCTTTCTATAAATGTAAAATTTATTTTAGTATGTAATTCCCAATTTCATGCTTTCGGGACCAAATGTTAAAATATAATTTATCCTTTTAAAAATACAGCAATATCTCAATCTGTTTTGAAGATTTTTGTTATGAATACGTGCTGGATATCACGTTTAGGTTCTAAATGAGCGCTGAAGTCAGTACCTTAAGTCAAGATTATGCGTAGTTATATGAGGTGCTCGGGCCTGTGACGAATGACTGCTGAAGCATGACCACATTCCTTACTGATCAACATTTACTTCACTCAATGTGTTTAGGTAAACGTGTGTACGATCTAAGAGTATGATTCACTTCAATTATGATGTTAATAACGTGTCTTGTCTAGTTTCTTACTTGCAGTGCAATACTTTACCTTCTGTCCAAAACTACAAATTTATGATGATATACTTTACTTTGTGGAGATATTTGCTAAAAGAGCAATTCATAGTGACTTACCATGTCCCTTGACTAGGTTATTGTATCAAAAGAAATATGTATATTTCAAAATTATCCGGCGCATATATGTTTGATGGAACATATTGAATTCTCATCACAGTGTTTTCATTACAGATGATAGCAGAAGTGTCAATATCTCGGATATTTCTGATAATAGCATTCACCTGTATACTTTTGCTTTGTTATTTTAGGCACTCGAGACGGTGTTCATATCTAACTTAGCTACAATCTCCCATTTCTTCAAATGCTGTTTAGAGATAAATGGTGGTTCGTTAAAATCTTCAAATGTAAATTAAATTTAATCGCAAACACTTTCTATCATTTCACAGCCGTAGATTTATTGAAACAGATAAATATTGATATTTTAAGTGTAAAGTTTGCTTTTTAAGTCCTTGTTTGTTTCTGTTGCAGCAATTCGAATGTTTTGCTTACCACTAATTACACGAACTAATCCAGAAGCAACCGGGTCTGTGTTTGTTTAGTATATACTTACATATTGACCGCTCAGGCCACCAGTAACTTATATGGCATTTGAAAGCAGGTGACACTAAATTTATTTACAAATAGGTTACTGTATCAGTACTTACTTATCATATACCATTACATGAATAAATTATGTACAAGTCTTCTGTCACATGATGTTAGAACGTTGGTGATCCTTAAACATACGTAGTTTGTAAATTTCCAAGACAAGCCATGAATAATTGCCTTTTATTAGATATATGTCACACGATTGGGGATGTCGTTATGAAGTCACTTTTTCAGCAAATCTTTATGTCTAATTTCGAATTAGGTTTAATTTTAAATTTCATCACCTACAACTTTTAAGCACTGTAAACTAACAAAAATATCATGTTTGATTTACATGTTTCAGTAAACTATAGTAGAGACATTCTCAGTTTAAGATAACAGATAACGAAAACAGATTGCCCAAACTCTGTCATCATGATGTGTTCAAATTTAAGTGCATTTTTACTTCTGTTATTTTATCATGACCACATGAGAAGACATATGTAGGTTTATCATTGATATGTATTGAAGTTTATATATATATCTGTTTCATTATCAATACATACATTTTTGTGTACAATAAGAGGAGCCTAACAATACTGTGTATAGTTCTAATCTGTACCCACTTGTCTAACACATGATCAGCTTACACCTTGTAAATCTCAATACGTTTCAGCCTGCCGGTGTTATACGTATGTTCAACCTTTACGTACACACCTGATATACAAATGTATCTTTTAAATCCCATATGATTTACTTATGGAAAAATAGTTTTGGATAATCATTTTGTTATAGTAAACAGGAATCATTTTGAAAAACATTAAGATGAATGATCATTGCATGAACGAACTATTGAAATCGGGACATGGTCATCAGTGTCAGGGTTAGCTCGAAAGTATTCAGAGTATATAAACACCCTTATCGAGTTTATACACGCATGAGTTCTGCGGGTAACCTGTAGAAAAGCAAGGTACTTGCTAGTATGTTTGTTGTAACGATGGCGGTGTGGTATCTAGGTCTCGTGCCATGACAAAATGCTTTCTAATAATAGCATTGATAGTAACAAAGAGGGAAATCCCGCTGTACCGTAAAAATAGACGAACGCCACCTATAAAACTGATCTACACGGGAAGATTTTTAAACGTGAAGCTACCTGTTGAAAATATTCAATGGGTTAAATGCATCAAATATTCATCATTTACTTCACCAGCAGAAGAGTTGAAACATTACACACACTGGATATTGCGGCTAGTAAAAGGTAAGTCTTATTGTCTGTTCTAAAAAATCATATATTGATCAATTTGATACCGCGTGGTCGAATGAGGACAAAGCATTTCCGCCTATATGTGTGGGTACTTGCTTCATGTAGAAATATGAACACAGCACCACTATATTGTAGAACATCCTGAATGTAAATGGCATATTGCTGATGTAAATGAAAATATTTCTTAAACATTCTACACTTACATGTACAATTATCTGTTGTGAAAATCCTCAACCACATTTTTATCCAAATCACATAAGGACAATTACTTTAAATGATTCTTTATGATTCAATTGTATCGACCTTTCCTTGTGTCCTAACTACGACTGGCGGGGACATGGTTTATATACAACATGAGGTATTGTATAGAAAACCCTTTCTAAACACTTGGACAGACACGCTTTACATGGCACAACTATATCCCTTGTGTTACAAACCACTTAATGTCATCCACAACTTCCCTACTCTTAACTATCTGCTTCCGGTAAGATGTATACGAAACCATGTGCTAAATACATGTCTTTGTTCGTAATCATTACAGAAAACAAACAGGAAGAACAACAAGAAGAGATAGTATGGTGTGACCACACAAGGAAGACATTGTTTTGCTTTATGTTACAATCTTCAAAACGCAAGACTTCAGCATTGAACTGGGATAATACACACCATGCAGTGCCAGAATCCTTGCTCTGCTAACAGCATATACCCAAACCTAATTCATGAAAGTCTCGACCCTGAGTCCAAGAAGAACCTTGCTGCGTATTTCTGTGAGGGTTGCTTCAAAGATAATGAATGTATCAACTCGTCAAACGTTGAACAATTTCTCGCCATATCACGGCAGCTTCACCATGAAAAATTACAGCAGGAATGTGAAAACTTTCTCAGAAGTAACAGTATGTGCCGACGACTCAGCATAGAACCGAGATCAAACAAGGAGGCCTCCCGATACCAGTTAATGTTTACTGGACATAGAGAAGACCGATCGTCTGGTCCTCTTGATCTCCACCTGTATGATTGTAGAAAGAACTTTCAGAAAACCTGTCGGATACCAGAACTTTCCGGTGTAAGATCTGGATGTGCAGTTTGCTGCTTGCAAGAGCATGGCAATGACGCACCTCATATGTACATTTCTGGGGGTGGGAAAGGTTCAGGAGACGTGTATCATTGTGACATTGTGATGAACAAAAGGAAGAAGTGTTCAAAACGTCTAGTGAAGGGTAGATCTCAACACTGTATGACATGTGTTCAGAACAAACTATATGTACTGGGAGGGAAATGCAGCAAAGGAGAAGCGATTCGTTCGGTCGAAGAATTCATTCCAAGACGTCATTCCTGGAAGATGGCGGGAAATCTAGAAATAGCGATCCACAGTGCTACAGCAATTAAGCACAATAACCAGATCTACGTGTTTGGGGGGATTTTAGACAATGGAAAAGAAACCAATCTTGTTCAACTATATGATCCCACAAGAAAAACATGCAAACTTTTGGCCAGCCTCCCCTTTCCTACAACAGGTGGCCAGGCGGTCGTGCGAAACGGAAAGATCTTCGTCACTTGTGGCAGTGGGCGCCTTGTTTCGTATGATCCAGAATCAAACAGACATGTTATCTGTACACAAATGCCAGTATGTTGTACAAACTTTGCAATGTTTGTGGAAAAAGAAGGTGTTTTCTTTGCTGGTGGCAAATCTCAGAATGACAATAACGCTCTAAAAACGGTGTATGTGTATTCGCCCGAAAACTGCACGTGGCACGTGTCAGACAAAGAATTGTGTGCGCCACTGTCGGTATTTGGTACGTGTTCAGTAGAAATCCCGGCTGATTATGGTCTTGTTCCATTTTTCAGCTAAGTACTTGCACAAGAAACTTTTCGTTGTAGATCAGCATATATCCAGTGATAATATATATTTACTTTTTGTGATAAAATTTTAATCTTCTCTTTTGTAAAATAACTTAAGCATATTTATTTTGTTATTCTGATATGACTTCTATTTTGGTGCTCATTTATTTTCTTTTAAGCATGTGCAATATATTTTTCTTAATTGTCTTCTCTCTAAGTCCAAGCAAACTGTAATCAATTTGTGTACATATATGGTTATCTAAGTATATAAATGTTTGAGTACATATAACACTGTATTTTATATATGTGACAAAATAAAAGATTGAAAAATACATATTTTCTGCTTTTATGCAATATTTCCTCTGATTACTTAATACTGATTCAATTGAATATGTACACTCATAAATCAGTTGCAAAATAATTTTGGGAGGCATGTAGTGTTAGATATATAGTTTTAGCTGTGAGTTATGTAGTGTTAGATATATAGTTTTAGCTGTGAGGTATGTAGTGTTAGATATATAGTTTAGCTGTGAGGTATGTAGTGTTAGATATATAGTTTTAGCTGTGAGTTATGTAGTGTTAGATATATAGTTTTAGCTGTGAGGTATGTAGTGTTAGATATATAGTTTTAGTTGTGAGGTATGTAGTGTTAGATATATAGTTTTAGCTGTGAGGTATGTAGTGTTAGATATATAGTTTAGCTGTGAGGTATGTAGTGTTAGATATATAGTTTAGCTGTGAGGTATGTAGTGTTAGATATATAGTTTTAGCTGTGAGGTATGTAGTGTTAGATATATAGTTTTAGCTGTGAGTTATGTAGTGTTAGATATATAGTTTTAGTTGTGAGGTATGTAGTGTTAGATATATAGTTTTAGCTGTGAGGTATGTAGTGTTAGATATATAGTTTAAGTTGTGAAGTACGTAGTGTTAGATATATAGTTTTAGTTGTGAGGTATGTAGTGTTAGATATAAAGTTTAGCTGTGAAGTACGTAGTGTTAGATATATAGTTTTAGCTGTGAGGTATGTAGTGTTAGATATATAGTTTTAGCTGTGAGGTATGTAGTGTTAGGTATATAGCTTTAGCTGTGAGGCATGTAGTGTTAGATATCTAGTTTAGTTGTGAGGTATGTAGTGTTAGATATATAGTTTTAGCTGTGAGGTATGTAGTGTTAGATATATAGTTTAGCTGTGAGGTATGTAGTGTTAGATATATAGTTTTAGCTGTGAGGTATGTAGTGTTAGATATATAATTTTAGCTGTGAGGTATGTAGTGTTAGATATATAGTTTTAGTTGTGAGGCATGTAGTGTTAGATATATAGTTTTAGTTGTGAGGTATGTAGTGTTAGATATATAGTTTTAGCTGTGAGGTATGTAGTGTTAGATATATAGTTTTATCTGTGAGGTATGTAGTGTTAGATATATAGTTTTGGTTTTTTGGTATATAATGTTGAATATGTAGTTTCAGTTATTCAACAATATATCATGTTTAATGTAAAGTATCCATTGTAGGATATTTACCTAAGTTCTATAGTAAATAATTATAAATTTGTCACCTGCATTGAAGGCTACATCCCTTAGAGATTTGAACACTAGATCCATGTTCACTCTGATATCTCACAATCATGTGTAACAGGAAATAATCTTTAATCTACATCAATTTTCCTTGTCAAGTTTGATATGTATAAGCTCCAACATCCGCTTTGGAGATCTCTTCTCTACCAACAGGTTTATTTTTAACCAAGTTTCATCATTCAAGGTCATTTGAAAAGGCAATCGTTAATAAAACACTTTCGTATGTATAAATTTATCAATATCGGATGTGTCGTGTAACTTTTCATGTACTTCAAATGTGTAGCTTAGTGTCTCCTAAGAATTTGAATGTCCAAGGACCTCTCACAGGTGATATAGTGTCACAATCACAGTAAGGTGTAGTTCTATAGCTAAATAATAAACTGGTTCTTATCAGAAAATTTAATATCCAGGTGCGATCCACATCCTGGATACCGACAAATTTCAAAGCTCGAGTATCACTCCTCAACGGAAACACCAAATAGTACACTTACTATTTATAGCGCTAGCACACTGTCCATCAATATCAAAGAGAGGCCGTTCGTTTGCTTTCTGATGTTGAATGGAGATTAGAAAGGAATTTTAGATTCGTTACTTATGTGTTGTATACTTACTGCATTTCAATGCCGCCGCACGTGTGATATAAGCTGTATTCACGGGCATAACCCGTTCCGGTACAAACGTTCATATAATGATAAATTATCTAATATTTCTGTTGTTGTTTTCAGTTAAAGGGAATTTAACTATTCCCATTTACGCCGATAACTTATAAAAAAAAAACCTGCAAACTGAATAGTTAATATAAAAAATACAGCTATTGACAAACTGAGGACCAAAGTTTTATCAATACTTTGTATAACTGTCAGGTATTAACGAGCAACATTTAGCATAAAGTTAACCGGGTGTTAGTATTATAGGAGTGTGAAAGAAAAATAAGATTATACCAGGTTAAAAATTGTAGATCATAACAAAAATGTTTTTGTTCTTAACCTTCCATACTTGTTATCACATATTCGGGACAGACTCAGAAAATTTTTCCGCACAGTAAAAAATTTCCACTCAACAATAAGTGTTTTGTGCGGTGTTCCTATTTTTAACCTAATCAGAGTATGTGGATTTCCAATTTTTAAAAACGAGGCCTGCTCTAAATATTGATGCTGACAAGTATTTTGCTCGGTCACATGAACTACCACGATAAGTGCTGTACACATTGTGATAAACAGCGCTTACATATTTAGAAAAAATAAACTCACATACCAACAAGTAAGATATCCTTATTTTGATTAACAAGCCCTAGTTCTCTCTTCTACTGTAGCACGATACAAATGTAAACATATACGTCACACCATGGGAAATATAGAAATAGAGATATCGTACCCTTAACACACATATCAAAATCAAATGTGTCTATTAATAACTTCACAACGACACTATTTAATCAATTTGAAAGTAAAACTCGTCTTCATACATCTGCGTTGTTGAATGTGTCCCTGCAATAAGACAATGTAGTGGTGGCATTTACAAACATCTTACGCCAAGCTTGAGTGGGACCGCTAGTTAGATTTACAGCCGTTATGATTTAACCAATCATACCCGTCTACACACAACACAATGCTCAGATACGAAGTATCAGCTGTTGATTAGGTAAACAACTGGTGACATCTGTTAAACGTTTTAACAATAACTGACGCTTACAGCTGAATTGTAATTCATAATGCAGGATAGGAAATGGTGCATTTTCTCGTCAGCATAGAAAGATAACATTTATGACGCTCATAAATCAAAAATGTGAATCCAACCACCAAAAAACCCCTCCCCCCCCCCCCATCTTTTCGTTCTTACATAATGTTATATGCATTGTAGTATTGTGTTTTTATAGTCAATACGGCTTAGCAGCATACCCAGATTTTAAATAATTCAAATCTAAACAATGACAGCAATATCAACAAGCAAGAAAGAATATGATTATGTAACACTAAATGATATGCATGGTATCAATGAACATGGAGTGATCATGATAACAGCTTTACATATCGTAAACGCAGTGATAACAAATGTCCTAAACAAGAATGCGATGACTTTGTAAAAATGGAGGGCGTGCGAACTTGCCAATAATTGGTTAGTGTGGGTATTTGACAAATTCTTAAAATTTTGAGGTCAATATATTTGAGTGAATCCCCCAAATATCCTTTTGAAATCTCGATATTTGTCAGTCTGTTGTAGCTGGTTCTTTTCCATCATGAGAGAAATTTCGCCACTGGATACGGTCTATCAGATATTAAAAACTGTCTATTGTACAAATGAAAAGTCACACATGGTCGGTACATTATGTTATATTTAAGCAGTCTGGTGTAAACATATATTATGAATAGATTTGAACAAAACAAACTGAAGTCACTTTGTCTGGCATCTGTCATAATGATAGGTATATAGCAGTGCGTGAAGTCGACTCTGAATTGATTTATTTCAATATTTTTTTTCGCTCCCCGAGAAGAAAGATAACTCTTACACACATGGTTTAAAATCATAATTGTTGATAATGATATTTTTCATTTGTGACTTTCAAATAGCAAATTAATACGTACTGTTCAAATTAATCTACAAAGAAAGCGGGATTTCAGCTGGCAAGGAAAAAGGATTTTTTTAAAAATTTTCTTTAATTTTCAACAGTATTCTCTAGGTAACAAATTTGTACAAATATCATATACATTTCACTCGAAAACAACGAATAAATTTTTAGTCTATTCCCAATAGACATTTCCTCGCATCATGCTTTTAGACTTAAACAACAGAAAAGGTGATGTCGACATTACATAGTCAAACTACTATCTATTACAAATCATATGTCTTCTTTTCGTTTTTGTCTTTGATTTGTCTACATTGAGTAGCAATGCATTGTAAACACAATTACTGTTGGTTGTGAAAGAAAGAGGTAAATATAATTTTGAGGGAGAATTGTGATCTGTTTGTATCATATATTTACACGTCATCCCCTAAGTGATACTCAACAATACTACAATACGAATTAATCCTAGTGGTATGATTAGGTAACAAATCATTTACACATACGTAAACCGTGCTTTACAAATGTATTTAAAACCTCATTATATACTGCCGTTTAGCATTTCTTTATCACAAATCCAGGTTGTCCTTCTATGCCTCCTTGCCATTTTTCTGTTAAACGTCCATAACCCTTCCTCGTGGCTTGATTATTTCATTTTTATATACCGTACTGAATAAAAGAAATGTTTGATTAATCATGTCAAGAAACTAAACAGATAGGACAGTCGCATAATCACAATAAAATTATTTGATTGAAAATAATCTTTTTAAATTCAGAAGGAATTTTAATCCAATGACTACACTAATTTCGAAATGAACATGTTTGATATCTTTGATGAAAACATAACAGGATGTAAGTGAGTTTTAAAAAATCGAAAACATTTATCCCCAGGGTAAATTGTGGATTTTAACTCTAAAATCAATTTCTTCACTTGTGAATTTGCTGATTGTGTACTAACATGAACCTGAAATTATTAGAGCCATGTTTGTATACATTGACTTGTGATGTATGTAATTAAGACTGTTCTAATGATGATAGTTTACTTTGGTAGCACAGGTATAACAACCTAAAAATTTCATACATCACCTGGTTTCATAATAGTTGGAGACATGCTATACGACAAACATGTCTAGCTTCATTCAAAATGTTACTGATATTTTTATATATCGCTTTTAGTAGTCTGGTGTGAACAAATG